GTGTTCAGGAATGTCATAGAAATGAAATCATGCAGCGTGTACCCTTTTGTGTCTGACCTCCTTTTGCTCAACATCCTGTCTGGGAGAGTCATCCAGTGATGCGCCCAGGCAGCTCAAACCAGGTCCTCAGAGTCAATTCTGTGTCTCTTTTCCCAAGCCTGCATTCAGTGACTTCAAGCTGGTAACCTGAGACATAGCAGGGCTGGAACATTTGCATCATGGAAATTTGTAAATGTTATAAGTCAGGGCTTTCCTTATCATGAAAAACCAGTTGTCAGCACGTCCCTGGATTCATGACTATGGCTGAGTGACTCAGGAGGGCAGCCCTTTATATGGCCCAACAATATTTCTTCCCATAAATATGTTACACATTTTTAGTAATATACTTTGTAGATATGCCACAAATTGTGTTGGTGCACATTTATTTTTTTTCCCAGTATGGAGCTATTATAAAGGGCTATGACTGCTCTTGCATATATAAAAAAATCAGCATCTGCATGTATCATCTCACCTGTCCACATCTATAATTTTCTGTATTTTGCAGTATGTGCAATAGGATGGGTAGCTTCCAGTGCTACTCAGTGGAGTTTAAAGTATTTTCTCTCCCTTTGATTAAATTAGTGTACTGAGTAAACTGTGTAACAGGGGATAAAAAGCTCTACAGTAGGAAAAAATTATAAAGGAGATCCTGAGTATAAAAATAATTTCTATATTTTTTCTGAAATGAAGGGAGAGGCCATGACAGTCCATGATGCAGCAAATGAAATTTCTTGTGCCATTTGGTCCTCAGGAATGCAAATAAACAGGAGAAAAAGATAGTTAAATATATTTAAAATTAATAAACTGCTGATGGTCTCTCACCAATAATAATAATCATAAACTCACCAAGGCCCTCACCTTCCTGATTCATTTCCTGAATAGCTACAAACAGCCTTGGATGTGCCACCAAAGCCAGGGGCCAACAACTCAACCCAGGTCTCCCACATGGGTGATGGGAATCCAACTCTTGAGTCACCATCTGCTCCCTCCCAGGGTGTGCATTAGCAGGAAGCTGTATAGGAAGCAGAGCTGGGACTTGAACTAGGCCCTCTGAGGTGGGATACAGGTGTTCAAAGAGGCATTTTAATCACTATGGCAAGTGTCCAAGGTGTCTGCTCCAAATTTCCACTCACTCTATCATATAACTTGGGGAAAAATGAATCTTTACAGACAGGAATTCCATGACTATCTTAAATAAACCACTCAATATTCTCTCTTCCTAAATTATTTTCATTCGTAACAATTTACTATCAGAAACAGTATATTTTATTGCTTAATAGTACTTTTGCCATAGCTCTTCAGTGGAATATAGCCCAGGAGAGCAAGGAGTGTGTTTAACCCACAGGCTGTGCCCCTGTACCTCCAGTTCAGTGTCTGGCACAAAGGAGATGATCAATAAATATTGTTAGTTTGATGAATTTCTTTTAGATATTGTGAGCATGTATTTTCACACGTGCTCTCTAACTGAATCCTCACACCTTTGAATTGGATAATAATAGTAGACACATACTTGAAACAATACTATTTAGATGTAGGCAATGTTCTTAGGGCTTCAGTCAAAGTAAATCTTAAAGTAACTTCAGGAAACATTCTTATTTACAGATAAGGATATGGAGACACACGGAAGTTATATACTTAGCCTACAGTTATTTATCTAGGACAGTGGTTGTGTCTGGATTTTAACAGAGTCAAGCTTGTTGTTGGTTTCCATGATGTTAACAGCACAGAGCTTTCCACTGGTTTATTGTACATGTTAGACAGGCTGAGAGCTTTGGATGGAAACTACTGTTTCCTTAATTATATTTTATATTTGTGCTGGATTTATGTTTATTATTGCTTTCAAATATCTTTTTGTAACTAATGATTGCTGTAGTATAAAATTAACACTGCAGAAAAGTGTTCATAACACATTTAGAATTATTGAATTGCAGATTGCCAGAGCAAAGGGAGAACTTAGATGTCACCCATTTTCCAATCAATAAATGGGACACTGAGGCCCACACAGGTCCAGTGACACTCTGTGGTCACCGAGAACATCAGTTATCATCCCAGCTTGGGAAGAAGGCTTTCAATTGAGTAGCTGAAAGCGCACAATTTTTCAACACCTACCTTTCTCGCTTGCCTTTGGCTAATGAGGCATAGATGCTATGGTGATAAATGCTCCATAAGTAATAAATGGAACAGAAAATGCACTCTGCAAAGGGGGTGGGTAATGGTCTTTTCCCTCCTTGTGTTTAATGATTAAGCCATTCATCCTTACACAGAAATGACAAAAATCTATTCCATGATCATTTATCAATACATGTTTTCAGATTTTAAGATTATTGAGTTTATCATATTTTTACTGCTATAATATATATCTGGATAAAGAAATAGAGTATATCTGCCATAATTTTATTTTTTACTTTTTTGTTTAGTCTGAAACTGATGATTAAATAAGTCTTAAAAACATGTCATATCCCCATGTCAGATTTTGTATTGGACATTACTGTTTCATGAGTTCACTCAACAGATATCTATCTGCTTCTAACCAATGCCAAGGACTACAGAGAAATGCACAGTACCCTATTGGGAAGAAAAGCTATCGAGAAAGACAAACCCAGGTAGAGGGCATAGAGAGGAACTATTTTTGTTGGGGTGGTGTCAGGAGGCCACTCTGAGAAGGGTGACATGCAACAGAGACTGGGATGGATTGAGTTACCTGTAACAACATTTGGGGAAAGTTACTCAGAGAGTCAAGGGTAACTGCAAGGAGGAATATATTAGCCAAGTTTGAGAAACATCAAGACAGACAACATGACTGACAGAGTGAGAGCCTGAGCGTAAAAGCAGAGACACTGATGCATGGAGGAGCCTGCTGGAGAGACGTGCAGGCCACTCGAAGAGCTTTTGAGTTTGTTATAAAATGGGAGCCCAGTGTGTGCAAAGGGGATTCAGGAGCCAATGTACTATGTTGTTCCAGTAGCAGCAGCGTCGGACTAACCTTATGTGATGGCAACTTTAATGTGTCAGCTTGACTGGCTTAAAGGATGCCCAGGTAGGAGGTAAAACATATCTTTAGGTGTGTCTTCCACAGTGTTTGCAGAAGAGTTTAGCATTTGAATCTGTAGACACAGTAAAGAAGTTTTCATCACTGGCATGGGGATGTGGGTGAGCATTATCCAATCCACTGGGGGCCCCAATATCAACCCAAGGCAGAGGAAGTGTGAATTTGCTTTCTGAGGAGCTGGGACCTGCACATTCTCCGGCCCTTGATAATAAGAATTCCTGGTTCTTGAGCCTTTGGAGTAGGATCAGGACTCACAACGCTGGCCTCCAAGTTTGGGGGCCTTCACATTGGATTGAGATTTACACTCGACAGTTCTGCTCCTTGGCCCTTGGGTTTGGACTGGAATTCCTGCAGCTTTCCTAGGCCCTCCAGCTTGCAGATGGCAGATTAAGGACTTCTCAATCTCAATAATCATGCCTGAGTCAATCTCTCATAATTAACCTCTTTCTAGGCATCCACATGTATCCTGTTGATTCTATTTCTCTCAGGACCCTGTCCACCACACTTGGCTCCAGATTTCCCTAGTGAGTAGAATGTATAAGAAAGGACCCCATCAGCAGACTAGAAAAGGTGAGGAATTCCTGCAAGCAGAAAGCAATGTCAGGGGCAGGTGTTGTATTACAGCAAGTTAACCCACCACTTGAAATACTGGCATCCCATAACCAAGCACTGGTTTGAATCCTGATGGCCCTGCTTCTAATCCAGCTCCCTGCTAACATGTCTGGGAGCGCAGCAGGAGATGGTCCAAGCCCTTGGGCCCCTGCCACAAATATGGGAGACCTGGATGAAGTTCTAGGCTCTTGGTTTCAGTGTGGCCCAGTATGGTTGTTGTGGCCTTTTGGGGAGTGAACCAGTAGATGGAAGATCTCTTGATTTTTCTTTTTGTTTCTCCCTCTTCCACTGTCACTCTTCTTTCCAAAGAAATAAATACTTTAGAAAGAAAAAGTAATTGGCAGCTGATTGATAAAGAAAGATAAGATTGATAAAGAAAGTAAGGCAGATAAGATCTCCTAGACAGAGAAATCAGAAAACAAACAAAAGAGTTCAAACATTTGGAGCAAGAGCAAATAGTCACACGGGAGCCCTGAAGGAGCTCTCATCTCAGAACCAACAAATGGAGGAAGAAGTAGACCACGGAAATTAATTTAACTGCTTGCACATCACCTAGGGAATTGCATCCCCTACCCTCTTAGACTGCCTGTGATTCCGTGTAGCTGATTGCTTTTGGCTTTGGCTAACACTTTGAGAACTCTGCTCCTAATAAAGTAGGATTACAAGTCTAGAGTTGGAGAGTGAGCGAGATACAAAAGAGAATTTAAGGCAACTTGGAGCTTTCCCCAGGGACACTGGAAGGGCGAAGGAAAATACATGAAAGACCAAAGGCGTAAAATCCTTTACACTTTCCACTCCCAGCTTAAAGCTCTCCTTATACAAATTGTTATGAGGGTCTACATGCACCATTGTAATCCAGCCTGCCAATTAACCAATATAAGTTGATATTTAAAATCTATCACCCATTTACACAAAGTTCTCAGTCTCCCATTCTTAACTCTGAATGAAGAGTGAGGGATGGAGAACTTTCTAAACTATTTCAAAGACAGAGAATAAACAGTAACAACAAGAAGCGAGAATTAGCATCAGACTTCCCATCAGCAACCCTTTCTTGCCAGAAGACAATGAAATGGCATCTTCAAAAGTCATATAAAATTCCATTTTTCGTGGAATAGTTTGAAAAATCATAAAACTATACAAAATGATGGGCAGATACCTCCAGGGTACCCATGGAGGGAACCCACAGAGCCAAACCCTCAGTTTGGGGACCACAGGCAAAATCAGCTTTAGCTTCTAACGGGAACCACCTGGAAGAACAGTTAAGGTGCATCCCTGAGCCTTCACCCCAAAGCCCCTCTGATTCAGCGCATCTGGGGTGGTGGAGCCACAGGGTTTGTGTGCCTCAGGGACTGCCTGGTGATGCTGATACGGCAGTTGGGGACCACATCTTGAGAATCACTGGGTTAGGCCCTGTTCAGACCTTTGTGAGTCACTTACCTATATCACTTGCCTGGCCCCTATTTAAATTTGTAAATCCAGCTTTAAATCTTCCTTGGTATCATTATTCTAATGAACTAGTGTTTCTAGTTTTGAAAAGCACATCTTTCATAACTAAGGGGAACCATGAAATATTTGTTCCTGTTTGAGCCTATGGGATAAAAGTAGCCTTTTTTAAAAAAAATCTTTTTTTTGGAATGCATTTTTATTGAGAAAAATGAGAAAGTTACTAAGAACAAAACTGTTCTGTCGAATTTATTTTATATATCCTGTGCTATGGTCTGAATATTTGTCCTCCAAGTGTATATACCGACAGACTAATCCCCAAAGTGCTGGTGTTAATAGGTGGAGACTTTGTGATGTGTTTCTATTATGAGGGCAAAGCCTTGGGACTGATCTCAGTGTTTTTATGAAACTAGCCCAGGGAAGCTAGTTTACCTTTTCACCATGTGAGGACAGAGCTAGAAGTTGGCATCTGAGGAATGAACCCTCCCAACGCTGAATCAGCGAGCACTTTGATCTTGGACTTCCAGCCTCCAGAACTGTGAGTTTATTGTCTGTGAGTCCCTCAGTAGCCCAAACAAAGGCGTCCTGATGGTTTTCACCTATGTAAAATGGTCTCCCAGGGGCTGCAGAAAAGTTGTGGAAGATGAGTACAATGGAAAAGCAATGCACGGATTTAGAAAACTTTTTTTTGCACAAACATAAACTCTTCCAATTCCACTTTTCCACACACTTTTTTGAGGGCCCCTTGTAGATCATTCTTTGTTTACAGGTGCCCCTGAATTCCTGGCCCTGTTGGACCTGTTACTAACAGCTGTGCTGTGGGTGAAAAAATGTTTTTCATTCTTCAGCTTGCTATTCCAGAACAATGAGGATGGAATACAAATTGTTAATGCTGGTGAGAACTGAACTGATGCCCTCAAAGGTCTAAGCTGAGTATTTGGTTAGATATTATGGTAACTATGATGTTAATCATTCTGATGAAGATCCTGGTGTTCTATTTCAATTCCTTGGGTTATGGACTTATTAGCAAATGTGCATTTTTATGACCATCAAAACAATACTAAGTATTTTGAAACTTATTTTGAATAAAAGAATGGGTTTCTTAGTTTGCCAGAGGCAAATCTCAGTGAACTTAAGTAATTCCAATAATGGTGGGAAACTCTAGTATTGCATAACAGAGTAAAAAATCTATAAAGAATCAGAGAAAAAAATAGGAAATAGCAGAAACAGCAACCAGACGATGGCACAAAGGAATAAAAACAAAGAGTGATTGCCATTTTGCTTTATGGAGCCCAAACATTAAGAACAGCCAAATTTCTTCCTGCTGGCAGGAAGGGAGTTGAGAGAGAAAACCTGCCAATTAACCTCCTTGCTGAACAGGCCACAGTCAGAAACATGGGAAGGAATCAGAAGTTCTGGGTCCAAAATGCATAAATAGGAATTCTAGTGTGCATAGGTGTCGCTCCCCCTCTTCGTGGAGGAACGACACAGGACCCTGCGCTGTTCTTTTTGTCTGCTCGGCCCTCCCCGGATTTGCTGCTGGTTCTTCCCGGGTTGGCTACCGACCCTTCCACCTCCGTGGAAGGGCGGTGCCCCCTGCCACTTTCCCCACTTCCGCGGGGGAGCGGCACACCGCTGGCTGGCTCTCTCGGGGGCTGCACAGGTTTTCCTTCAGATAGATGTTCCCTTTAGATGTTCCTGGTGCATGTTGTCTCTCTCCTCCTTTATAGTCCTTTTCCACCAATCCCAACTCTGCTACCCACAACGCCGAGTACGCTGCTCTCCTCCAATCAGGAGCAGGTCCTGCAGTTTATTGGTTGAACTGGAGGCAGCTGTGTAGAAGCTGTTTCTCCCTTCTCAGCGCCATATTGTGGGAGAGCAGATGCATAGAATAAGTCTTAATTCCAGTAACTTAGTCTAGTCCAAGTTGCTCCCAGTTGCTCCCCACACATAGGCATGATTTTTCAGTTTTATTGTTTCATTGTAGTGCTTAAAACTAGCAGTTTAAGGGCTGGCATTGTGGTGCAGTGGCTTAAGCTTCCTCCAGCATCCCAAAAGGGGGCCGGTTCAAATTCCAGCTGCTCCACTTCCAATCCAGCTCCCTGCTAATGACCTGGGAAAAGTAGTGGGGAAGAAAGCTCAAATGTCTGGGCCCCTGCCACCCACGTGGGAGACCCAGATGAATCTCCTGGCTTCAGCCTACCCCAGCCATGGCCATTGTAGCCATCTGGGGAATAAACCAGTAGATGCAAGATTTCTCCCTCCCTTTCCTCCTCTCTCCTTCAGTAACTCTGAATGTGAAATGAACAAATAAATCTTTTTAAAAAAAGGAAAAAAAAAACAAGCCAACAATTTATAAGTCTCATAGCATATGCTAAATAGTAATATTATTAGAGCACCCTTCCTTTCAAATTATTTCACATTCCATTATGAGTGTCTGTGTAGAGATATTACGTTTGGCTTCCAAAAGGCACTTCACAAAATGAAAATAATAATAATGAAGGTCGTTAGTATTTTGTTCATTTTCCCACATTACTGTGTTTGGAAAAGATAGAGTTCAAGTTTATTCAGCAAAATATTTGTGACTGATAGAGTCATTTTAAGATCTGGGTTGTGTGGAAGGATATACCTATATTAGGGATATTTTTCTTTTACTGATCCTGAATAATATGTGTGACTACTTCAAGAAGTACATGGAGAATGGTATATAAAAATAGGCTTATTCTGGTGCCAAAAACTGAAACCCAGGCATGTAAGGAGTCTTTAATTCCCCTTTCCATGAACTATTTTTTAAAAGAGATTTATTTATTTGATTTGAAAGGCAGCATTACAGAGAGGCAGAGGCAGAGAGAGAGAGGTCTTCCAACCCCTGGCTTACTCCCCAGAGGGCCACAACAGCCGGAGCTGGGCTGATCCGAAGCCCAAGCTTCTTCCATGTCTCCATGTGGGTGCAGGGGCTCAAAGACTTGGGCCATCTTCTACTGCTTTCCCAGGTCATAGCAGAGAGCTGGATTGGAAGTAGAGCAGCCAAGACTAGAACTGGCACCCATATGGGATGCTGGCACTGCAGGCAGCAGCTTTACCTGCTACGCCACAGCACTGGCCCCTTCCATGAACCTCTGAAGTAACTTCATACTTGAATAGGCCATAAAGCTCGTTGAAATCAGCTTGTGACTCATTTACGCACCCCTTTGAGAAATTTTGAGGAAGTTAATGGCTAATTTTTACTCATTGCTGAACATGGATTACAAACACCAAGCTTCCTTATTAGAGACATTAAAATCAGCAAACAGTACATATGCATACCAGTTGAGGTATCAGGAGACCTGAACTATGGACTTGATTCTATCACTCAACATTATGAAGCTTTAGTAAGTCACCTTTTCTCTAGAAACCTTAGTTTTCTCATAATAAAATGAGGATTAAAAAAAGATTTCTAAAGACCCCTCAACTGTAAAAATTATTGATGCTAAGAGGACAGAAACTATGTAAAGTTAACTGTGAAACAACATAAGCTGACATATCTGAAACTTGACAAATTTACCTGTAAAAATAATTAAGACTTGGTTTTCAGTTCTCAGACAGCAGAGCTACCTTAAGATAACAGCAAGTGACAAAAGGACTCAGCAAACTCTAGCTCTCAAAATACTGGTAGACCCAGATTGAGTTCCAGGTTCCTGACTTCTCCCTGGCCCAGACCTGGCTGGTGCAGGCATTTGGGGAAGGAACCAGTTGATGGAAGACCTCTCACCATCTTTCATGCAAAATAACAATAAAATTGCAGACATTTAACATAGAGAATAGGGCTGATATAATGGTAGAAAGAACCATGCAATGCTTGCCTGCTTTAGAAACCCATGACTATGCTTGTGGGTCCACACACAGGCAAGATGGCTGCTCTGAGCTCAGCTCTTGCTGAGAACCACAGGACCGGAGTGAGTGAGTCCCTGGCAGAGCAGCACAGGACTGGAGTGAGTGAGTCCCTGGCAGAACCACAGGACCGGAGTGAGTGAGTCCCTGGCAGAGCAGCACAGGACTGGAGTGAGTGGGTCCCTGGCAGAACCACAGGACCGGAGTGAGTGGGTCCCTGGCAGAACCACAGGACCGGAGTGAGTGGGTCCCTGGCAGAGTAGCACAGGTAGGTCCAAGGAGATTCCTACAATTTGCTTGTGCTTCAAAACCAGGCCTTTGAGGTACAATTTCAAACTACTTGTCACTGACATTTTGTGGGGTTTGAAATAAATTTAATGGGTTCAACCAAAAGTTGACAATTACACAGGACAGAGCTATTCACAGTGTACTAAACACAGTTCATGTGGAGGGATGGCACAGATAACAAGGATATTGCTTACAGAGAAATTTATCCAAAGCAATTTATAAAACACACACAATTACTGATGATCAAATGATGGTGGGCATGTCTGATTTAGTGACCAATAAATAAAAACTAGCACCATTAATTCATGATGGTCATTCTGACTCGCACAATTCCCTGATACTCTGTTCCAGCATTCAGGTAACACAAGAGCCAGTCAGAGACTCAAAGCACAGGAAACTGCCAAAAAGATGTTGCTTTTGCTTGAGGCTCCAAAGGACACAGATGCTCCAACAGAAGCAGTAGGCAGTCTACACGGCTTCCTGGTGAGTCATAGAGACGTCCAGCATCATTGCATCTGTGGGGTCATAAAGACCTGGTTGTGGAGAAGGTTGGCTGATGGAGTCCTGTTCTCAGCACTATGGAGAGCTGGCAGCTGTGCAGGCCACCTGGTTGGCGTCAAAGCAGGTCACAAAACAGGACAGACCTTGCTCTCAGACTCTAGAGGGTCTCACTGGAAAAGTATTCTTTACCCAGCTTTCTGCATCCTTGTCTTTTGGCCGAGTCTTGGATAAGTAGCATATAGACAGAATTTCAAAAATACATTCTAATACTTGTTGTCTTTGGAAAAGCAAATTAATATGTTCATATCTTTTGCATATTCCAATTATCCTGACCATCGTATTTTGTATTTTCTATTTATTTCTTAAATCTCATTTTTAGCTGTGTGTCAATACTGAGTGAAATCTGTGTAGTCCATCCAGCAAAGTACTGGAATCTGTGTTTTCTAGTAAGTGCCTCATAATTGAAATAGTCAATGTGATATAAAGTTATGATCTACTCTACTTAGTTGAGCACCCAAAGACTTTACTTCCATACATATTCCTGAGATCTTTCCAAGTATATATTAAGAGACATCTGCATTGTGTGTGTGTGAAAGGGCGTTCTCCGGGATTGTAAATCTGGACATGTTGGGATATAAATTCACTAAACACTAATAAAATGGGAACTGTCTTCTTTTTGGAAAACATCTATCTCAGGTAAGGAAATGAGAGTGTCCAGAAGGGACCTGGGTAGGCCGGCCACAGAAGGGTAACTGCGAAAGGGGTAGAGAAATAGCTGCTCTCTTAGGGAGGGAAGACTCAGAAGATGTTAACTTTCAGAGTTTTCTAGTTATTCTGATTTTCTTTTTTTTAAGATTTATTTATTTATTTGAAAGTTGGAGTTACACAAAGAGAGAAAGAAAAGCAGAGACAGACAGAGAGAGAGGTCTTTCATCCTCTGGTTCACTCCCCAATTGGCCACAACAGCTGGAGCTGTGCTGATCCAAAGCCAGGAGCCAGGAGCCAGGAGTCAGGAGCTTCTTCCAGGTCTCCCACATGGGTACAGGGGCCCCAGGACTTGAGCCATCTTCTACTGCTTTCCCAGGCCATAGTAGAGAGCTGGATCAGAAGTGGAGTAGCTGGGTCTTGAACTAGTGCCCATATTGGGTGCTGGCACTGCGGATGGCAGCTTTATCCTCTACACAAGTGCTAGCCCCCTGATTTTCTTAATATCTTCATTTAGATTTTCAGGACCCAATTATTCCAGAAACTTCTGAAGATAATTTCTAAAACTGATTTTGAGCATTTTTGGTCATATGGTGATAAGAGTTTGGAAATTCTTGCAGTAGGATCACAGACATTCTGCAATACATGTATCTTCTGTTTCTGGCACGACTGTCTCGTGGATGCCTGGAGTAAAATTCCCAGTGGAAAAAAGCAAAAGGGTTTGAATAACACATAAGAGATTCAGGTTAAATCCAACAGATCTGTTACAAATTCAACTATGTTAAACAGTAGGTACAAGTGAAAATGGAATTCATAAACAGGAAGGTAAAATTTAAGATTATAAAGAACAAACTACAGAGCTTCTAAGAGATGGAGCATATGAAAGAGATACTAGTTCTACAGGGATGTTATAAATTGTTCTGGTACATTCTGCAATGGAGTTTCAGAATAAGACTGGAGAGAATGGAAGGAGAGGCAGTACTCAACTGGGGCTGAGAATTTCCAGCAGTGAAGTAAAAACAGAACCTGTTTTTAAAGAACCCAATGAATCCCAAGGAGCATATAAACAATTTTTTAATTATAACATAAAATCAGGATACAATTTCCAAAAACAAAATGCCCCTAACCAAAACGTCTTAAAATCATCCAGAAAGAAACTGCAGATGTTCTTAAAAAATAAGAATTAGAACTAACCACTAATAACTCCAGAGCAATAAAAAAGTCAAAGACAAAGGAATAATGGCTTTCAATGAGGAGAGGAAGTTGCTATCACTTCAAAATGGTTTTCTCAGGGAAACATGTTTCGAGAGTGATATAAAGAGAACAGGATGCAAACAAAACCTGTGAAATCGAACACTACTGCACATTGCCGCAGTATCTTGTTAAGGATATATCTCAGGGGCTGGCGCCGCAGCTCAATAGGCTAATCCTCTACCTTGCGGCGCCAGCACACCGGGTTCTAGTCCGGTCGGGGCACCGGATTCTGTCCTGGTTGCCCCTCTTCCAGGCCAGCTCTCTGCTGTGGCCCGGAGGTGCAGTGGAGGATGGCCCAAGAATTTGGGCCCTGCACTCCATGGGAGACCAGGAGAAGCACCTGGCTCCTGCCATCGGATCAGCACAGTGGGCCGGCCGCTGCGCGCGGGCCGCGGCGGCTATTGGAGGGTGAACCAATGGCAAAGGAAGACCTTTCTCTCTGTCTCTCTCTCTCTCTCACTGTCCACTCTGCCTGTCAAAAATAATAAAAAAATCAATAAATAAAAAAAGGATATATTTCGGGAAGGTGGTAAGTGTTCACCAAGGAAGACAGAAGATGCAGAGACCAGTGAACAAAGACAAAGGAAACACGTGAATGAACCTGACCAAACACGGACTCCAGACAACAGAAACAACTCGTGGACCGAACAAACAAGATGAAACTAAAATACCGGATGGTGGAAATATGGCATAAACAAACCACGTAACTACTACAAATAACTTACTTTGAACAAAGGGAGATAGATGAAACTTTAAAGAAAACAGGACAAAGATGGACAGAATGGATTAAAATGTCCAGCTGTTTGATTTTACTCAGTCTGTCATCAAATGAAAAAGGCACTATTATTTGCCACAAAAAGCAGAAAAATAAAGTACTGCCTATGAAACTGTGGAATTAAGATTTACTGTTATGATTCTGTAAAGTTCTCTGTGACCCATGAAGTAGCACACCAGCTCTTTGCTTTGAATTTTTTTTCCACTGGGGCTGGTACTGTGTGGTAGGCTAATAAGCTTCTGCCTGCAGCACCAGCATCCCATATGGGCGCTGGTTTGTGTCCCTGATGCTTCTCTTCCAGTCCAGCTCTTGGCTATGGCCTGGGAAAGCACTGAAAGACGGCCCAAGTGCTTGGGCCCCTGCATCCATGTGGCAGACCCGGAAGAAGCTCCTGGCTTTACACTGGCTTAGCTCCTGCCATTGTGGCCATTTGGGGAGTGATCCAGGGGATGTCTCTTCCTGTCTCTATCTGTAACTTTCTCTCTCAAATAAGTAAATAAATAAAATCTATTTTAATTTTTGTGTATTGATCCTGGGTAATTTGGGATTCTTTCTACTTTCAGCTGCATTTATTGATGGGTGATATAAAATCATTATGCAAGTAGATGAGAAAGCACTCTAAGTTTCTCTTCTAAGGCCTTTTTTTTTTTTTTCGGTTTCAGGTGTTTTCTTAAGTGAGCCATACTGTCGCTGGTTTCTAAATTGCAAAACAACATAAATTCAACAATAATAACACAACCAGTTAGATTGTGACAAGCTTTTCCTTTCTCTAAGGGAAGAAAAAAGAAAAAGAAAACACACAATGGAGGGTTAAATAAATAATAAGTTAAAAAAGAGAAAAATGTAAAGAAAAAGCCAGTTAAAACAGGCTTGTGTTTACTTCGGGCAACTCTGTGCAAACAGGAAACGTGATTTTCAGCAGGATGACAGGTCCCGGCATGCCTCCTTCCCAAATAATACTGACAAGAAAGAAGAGACGTAAGACTGACTCAGCGGCGCCTGCTCAGAGGCACACTAAAAATCCGTTTCATTAGAGCACAGGGCTTCCTGCTCAGCACAAATATCCATGTATTTGTTCAAAAAGCCATAATAATGTTAATACAGACAACAGTTTAAAAACAATGTGAAACAGGCTCACTTTCGATTGATAAAAAACTCCAAGTGTCAGTAACATATAATTCTAAATCATTACGTGTTCAATAACATTTTCAAATACACAAAAAAGAAGTTGATAGATACACTGTTATATTAGACAATTAGCACATCTTCCTGAATAACTGGCAGATTGATTAGAAAAGAGAATAATAAGAAATGAGATGAAAATGTAAAGTTTTAACAAATGTGTGTGTATGTGTATATATATATGTATAATATATATAAAATTAACTGAAATGCAAAACTGTAAAATATGGAGCTTTTTTGAGAATACATGAAACATTTACAAAAACTGATGAGGTGCTGTATAATAAAGAAAGCAAAATCAATATCAAAGAATCAATATTTTATAGAGCATTTTCTGTTTTCAAAAAATAAGCTCAGAGGTTAGGCACAGGAACGCAGTGGGTTAAGCTGCCATTTGGGACGTCCATATCATATATCTGAGTGCCTTCAGTTGATTCCTGCCTCTGCTTCCCATCCAGCTTCCTGCACTGCACCTGGGAGGCAGTAGATGATGGCCCAAGTACTTGTGTTACTGACACCCATGCATGAGACCTGGATAGAGTTTTTGGCTCCTGGCTTTGGTCTGGGCCAGCCCCAGTTGTGTGGTCATTTGGAGAGTGAGCCAGCACATGGAAGATTTCTCTGCCTCTCTTTCTTTTTCTAGCACTCTTTCATATTAAAAAATAGTTAAAAACTAAAAAAGAACTTAATAAAAATGATAGATTTAAAGTTGAAAAGATGAACAATTTAAAATATACTATATCACACATAGTTCAAAAAATTAAAATGAAGGCTTCAAAACACTGACTATCCAAGAATAACAATCCTCCCAATTAAAGCTTGAGGAACAAAGCTAAAGTCACAGTACTGGGAAATGCATATTCTTTAACATTTATAGAAGAGAATAAATCTGATAGTTCATCAAATATCTAACTAAAGAGGCTTATTAATAAAAAGGATATTTCCAATGTAATCATAAGTATAAATAAAGATTAAAGCAGAAATTAAAAAGATGAGAAAAAATACAAAATAATTATTTGAAAAATTATTGCATATATAGTTTAGAAAAATTGAGCACTTAAAAAGATAAAGTATAATAATTCTGGTAATGAAAGGAAGATTTCATTCACATGAGTCAAATATAAAATGATATAAGACAAAAAGATATGGCAAATTTTAAACTTAAGCCGAAATAAGAAAAATATGACTATCTAGACAAATATGACCTATCAAGAGATCATTACTCCTATAGATATGATTTTACAGGTGAGTTCCAAAGTTAATATGTTTTATAATACAATTTTACAAAGAAGAGAAAAATGAAATCAATCCATAACTTAACTGATAATAGTATATGCACTGGCATCATGTAAGGGATAACATAATAGGAAATATTAAAAACCAGTCTGATTCCTCACCATATAACAAAAATCCTAAAGATATCAGCAAAACAATTCTAGTAATCAATAAACTTTTCCTTTAAAATTAGGAATAAACCATTGATGGACTCTCTGTTTATATTCTATGATATTATAGACCTTATCTAATTTAGTAAAATAAGAAAAATATGTATAAGAATTGGGAAAGAAAAATGTATTATTTGCAGATTATATGCATATTTAGCTTTATAAATAATTTTACTTTCAGTAGATTATTAGAATAAGAATATGGTAAGATTGCCTGATGCAAAGAAAATATAAAAATCAACTCTAATTTCTGTGTATCTTCCAATAAGTTACAACATTTAATGTAAATAAGTATATTATTTATAACAGGAATCATGAATATGCTTTCTAGAGATAAATATAAACAGGAATTTAAAGAATGCTATATTGAAAGAAATCATGTAAAGTGTGTTTAATTAGAAATATATACCAAGTTCATAGATAGGCAAATTCAATAAATTTTTTATTCTCTCTACATGGTTTTACAGATTCAATAAAATTCCAATCAAATTTCAAAATGATCTGTCTTAGAATTTGACAAAGTACATCTAGAACTTACATGCAAGAACAAAATATCTAGAAAAGCTAAAATATTCATAAGAAGGAAGTTGAGGAAGAAAGTGTCTTATTAAAAAATAAAACATTATGAAGAAAATTTTAAGACAATGCAGTAGTGGTATAGAAAAGTAAATCAGTGGAACCAAGTAGAGAGCAGGCTCAAAGGTAAACATATATATATATATATATATATATATATGTCTTTATGACATAACAGAGAGATAATTGTTACCCAGTTAGAAAGGAATGAATTATTATTGACCATATCTTGGGGATGGAGCACAAATCCAAACATGAAAGTCATTTATGTCATATAAGCACTTTACATATAGCTTGCAGGAAACATTTTACAATATTTTTAGTGAGCCTGAATTTTTTCAAAAGATTGATTTGAAAGAATAACATAGAGAAGGAGAAAAAGGATCTTCCATGCACTTGTTCACTTTTTTTTTTTTTAAAGATTTATTTATTTATTTGAAAGGCAGACTCAGAGAGAGAGAAGTCCTCCATCCACTGACTCACTCCCAGATGGCTGCAACTGCCAGATCTGGGCCAATCCAAAGCCAAGAGCTTTTTCCAGGTTTCCCATGTGGGTACAGGGGCCCAAGAACTTGGGTCATCCTCCACCGCCCTCCCAGGCCATAGCAGAGAGGTGGATCGCAAGTGGAGAAGCTGGGACCTGAACCAGCGCCCGTATGGGATTTCAGCATTGTAGGCAGATGTCTTATCCACTATGCCACAGTACAGGCCCCACTTGTTCACTTCTAAAATATGCCTCATAGCCAGCGCATGATAAGCCAAAGCCAAATCCAAGAGCCAGGAACTCCACCTGGGTCTCCCAAATGGGTGTCAGAAATCTAAGTACTTTGGACATTATCTGCTGTCTTCTCAGGCACATTAACCGCAATGCTGAGTCAAAGCAGAAGAGCCAGGACTCGTAGCAGCACACGTATACAGGATGTGGGCATTCCAAGCAGTGACTCAATCTGCTGCCCCATGACACTTGCCCCAAGACCTATTCTGAAAATATCACCTTCCGTAATGGCTGTAAATAATCTGACATAATTTTTCTTATTTTAACTCAAAAGATCTGTGAAAATTCAAGGGGAATGTATTTTACGAATAAAACTATGCATGGATTTCAAAAATTTATTGAACAAAAATCCTTTATCTTTTCATCCCATTTTCTATGACCTTTTTGAGTACCCTAGTATACTGATGTTTGTTAACTATATCGCAATACCATAAACTAAATAATATATATATATACTTAATATTCTTAATTTAAATGTGAGAAGAAAAGAGAGACAAAACATAGATACAGAGAACTCCTATCTGCTGTTTCAATCAATATTTGCAGGAGTTGGGGCTGACTCAGTCCACACTGGGAATCCAGAATTTAGTCCAGGACTCCCACATGGGAGACAGGGACCCAATTACTTGAGCCATCACTGCTGCTTCCCACGGTCTGTGGTACCAGGGAGCCAGAGTAGGAGCTGCAGCTGGGAATCAAATGTAGGATGTGGATATTTTAACCACTAGGCTAATTCTCCACCCTTCTACATCCGTTTATTCATTTTTATGTGTTTGAAGGAGAGAGAGGAAGAGGGAGGGAGGCAGGGAGGCAGGGAGGCTGGGAGGCTGGGAGGCTGGGAGGGAGGGTGCTGTCATCTGCTGGTTTTTACTCCCCAAATGCCCTCAGCAGCCAGGACTGGGTTAGGCTGAAGACAGGAGCCTCAGGTGAGTGAAAGGGACTCAAGTACTTGGTCCAGTAGCTGCTGCTTCCCAGGGTGCATCGAGAAACTAGAGCAAGAGCCATGTAGAACTTCATCCCAAGTACTCTGACATGATGTGCTGGCATTCCAGGCCGAGGCTTAGCATGCACCAAAGTGCCCTCCCACATCTTCAACTATCCTCCAAAGATCCAGACAATACTTAGAAATAGTACCAACTTCAAAAAGGCCCTGGCTTAAAATGGGAAATTAGAAAATAACAGCTACAGATACACGGTTACCAAAGTGAAGAGTATTAACCACAGTTGACAAATACAAATTTAATAGACATTGTGGCTCTCTGCCTTAATGGATTTTCTGTGACTCCCTGAATAGATCATCATCCTGCCACTGAAGCAGCCTTGTTCCCTGCAGGCCTATCTACTACAAGTAGAAATATACTGTTCTCCAGAAGCCAAAGGACAATTCACCGAGGTTAGACACAGAATGGAGCATTTCAAGTTTACTTGAAAGCACATACGGCTTCAGTTATCAGGTGAATGGAATGTTGTTTCTTTTTCTCTCTCCTCATATTGATCACAGGAAAACCAACTTGATGAGCAGATAATCACAAACACGTGATGTCTTTCTTAGCAGTAAGAATAAATAAAGATTTCTTCCTAATTCCAACATCCTCTAACCTGGGGCAGCAGCTGCACATGCCTATTCCAGATAATTTATATATAATATGTATGATATATATAATTTTATAAGGTGAAACAGGAGCCAGGTGCTTCTCCTGGTCTCCCATGGGATGCAGGGCCCAAGCACCTGGGCCATCTTCCACTGCACTCCCTGGCCACAGCAGAGAGCTGGCCTGGAAGAGGGGCAACCGGGACAGAATCCGGCGCCCCAACCGGGACTAGAACCCGGTGTGCCGGCGCCGCAAGGCGGAGGATTAGCCTAGTGAGCCACGGCGCCGGCCACTCTTATTTTTTCTTTTAATTTTCACAATGACATAGTTTCAACTTATTTTACTTGTTCTTTTTTCAGTTTATTTTATAATCAGAAGCTTAACCCTTCACTGTATAAAGAATTCAGCAATGAGGTCCCACAGCACTGGTTCAGAGGACCTGTCCCTTCCTTGAAGCAGGTGCAGATCCAATTAGCTGCAAACAATTCAAGATAAAGAGAGTAGCTTTTTAAAAAGGTTTATTTACGGCCAGTGCCATGGCTCACTAGGATAATCCTCTGCCTGCAGCACCAGCACCCTGGGTTCTAGTCTTGGTTGGGGCACCGGATTCTGTCCCAGTTGCCCCTCTTCCAGTCTAGCTCTCTGCTGTGGCCCAGGAGAGCAGTGCAGGATGACCCAGGTGCTTGGGTCCCAGCACCCACGTGGGAGACCAGGAGGAGGCACCTGGCT